TCCGAAAATAATATATGTCAGAATTACTGCAATTATTGCAGTTAAAAATAGTTAAAAATTTGAAAATTTGGATTTTACCATTATCAAATCGGTAAAGGATGAAAAAGGATAGAAATGAGCTATTTCTTTAATCATATAAAAAGATAGTTTGTGGAAAAAAAAACGCAGTAAAAAGTTTAATAATCAATAAAAATGCAAATTTGTTCAGTCTCAATACAAAAAAGTTCAATGATATATCGATTAGAGTAAGATATATCATTTTGAATTTTTTGATTTCGGAAATAAGTTATACGCGTTACGTTTAAAAATTTTAAATGCTGCTAAGTTTTTTTTTTTTTTTTTAAATTCATTAAATACGATTTCATTTAAATAAACTTACAATGAAATAATATTAAACAAATGTTTTTGTAAAAATTTGTAGAGAGGATTATTTTGTTACATTTTTAATGGAAAATTCACAAGTAAAGAAGTTATTAATCATAGATAACATTGATGATATACAAAATTTGAAAAAAAAAAAAATTTTTTTTTTGATGCCAGACAATGTTATTTATTAATGAGACTGCAATGTTTTAAATTCACTTTAATTATTATTGCTGCCGACCTTTGATTTTGAGTTTGTATTTTACGCTAATGTAGTAATAACATAATGATCGAAATATATTTTGTACGAAAATTGATATTTGTTTCATTCGATGCATACAAAAAATTGTTTACAAAATATGAGATTATAATTAATTTAATTAAATTTTCAACTGCTTTATATATCATTTAATTATCTCTATCAAATTAATACAATTACATGAAGAATATTTGTATCATTCTGATCTTAATATATTTCATTTTCATGCACGATTAGTTAAAGTATTGTTGTAAATTAGAGAAAATGATGATCAGGCAGAAGAAATGAATGCCGAGAAGGTTATCCATAAGTTTACCTTCAATTAATCATCCATCAATTAAAACTAACTTCTTGAAGCTTTATTGTTATCTTAAATGAAATGCTACTGAATGTCAAGGTCATTTGCTGTCTTCTTCTTCTTCTGACCACTGGCTCTCTCTTGTCCTGTTCAGGTCACGCCCTTTCTTCCTATCCATTACCAACCGATTCCTTCCAACGAATTATATATATATATGTGTGATAGCTATATATATATATATATACCAGAAGAGCTTTACTATTCATTCATCAGTTCATTTCTTTCATCCGTTCACTCATACGAATGTCATTTATGTTGTACAACAAAAAACTTTGCTAATATTTTAAAGTATTTCAAAATTTAAAATTCGAAGAATTTAAAAGAGGAATTTCAAACTTTTCAACAGTTTTTATTTTACTCATTGTGATATAATTAATATACTTTGTAAATGACATTTTTATACACTTTCATAATATCTCTCATTGTTTAATTTCAATTTTTAATCACTGAGGTTTTAATTTCCATATTTTTAAAAAGTTTTAATAAGTTTTTGTATAACTCAATGATTTATTTCGCTGAAATTACAGCATCTCAAATAAAATTTACATATGCAAAAAAATACGGTAATTAGTTTTTATTTTAATATAGCACATTACTATCGAAATGACCCGCATTGACCTTTGCAAAATAAAACTGTGTGGTTCATTATGTCAACACGTGTGGACAAAAGTGCTCAAACTTTTCCAATATTATTATTTCTAGATTAGTATATTCTTAAATGTATGAAATTAAAATTTTTTAATCATCACATGTTATTGAAAAATTTATTAGAGGTTCGAATTGTCAAATTTTTTTAAATTTACTGAATTCTATCAAAGTGCCAGATTCACCTCTAAATTTTAGATTCCAAATTTAAAAAATTTAACTTGAATTTAGATAACTAGTATATGATCTGCAATAGTCCAGAAAACATTTGTCAAGAAAGGAAAATTTTTGCAAAAATAAAGCACCAGAATTAAAAATTGTTTTTTTTTTTCCAACTTCATAAAAATTAAGCTACTCTTTTTGAGCTTATGCAAAACGTTCAAAAATTTTCAAAAATCATATAAATCATTAAATGCATTCATTAATTTTTGGTGATTTTTCATTCGTTTTCTCAAAAATTCACTTCAAAAAGTGTCAAAATTTGATTCATTCATAGGAAATAATATTAACATAAAATTGTGAGAAAAGGCGAGATTTGACGAATTGAATTGGATCCGTTTGGATCTATGGATTTTGCAGCTGTTTAGTTTGCTTCAAATGTTCATAGCTTTCATTCGTCAAATTGAAATTGATCGATGAAATGATTAGGAAGTGAGGAAGATAGAAGGAAGCATAAATGATAATGTCAGATTGGCGCTTTTTGCGTTCTTGTAAGCATTTAGCAGCGACTAGACGTTGTCCCAGTATTGGGTCATTCATTCAAATTTGAAATCTGAATTAATTAGTCGTAAAATTGCCATCCAAATAGGATGTGTATTTCATGTTTTGATATAATATATTTTATTTGGTTATTTGTGCTTATTTATGCCTTATTTATTTTCAATAAAATTTTTTCTAAATTTAAATTTACAAAATTTGAAAAAAAAAATTTCTAAAAATTTCAATTTTTTTCTTCCTTGAATGTTTAGTTTGTTGGTTTGAGACTTTTAAAATAAATTGCTTGCTAGATAACATTTTGTAAATTAGATAATTTAGATAATTAGATAATATTTTGTAACTTAAATAATATTTTGTAAATTAGCTACGCTATATTTGATTAATAAAATTAAATATTCAAATTTCAGAGAAAGTGATAAAAAAAAAAGAAGGGGGAAAGGATCAGAAGAGTTAGCGGCGTAATCGAAATTCACCGCAACTCTTCCAATGCATCCTATCAGCTATTTTCTAACTATAAAACCCTTGGAATAATATTTTTTTTGGGCATATTTTTCAATACGATAAACTAAAGAGACCAACTTGTGAAATTCAATATAAAACAACAGACAAAATTTACATATTAACAGTGCTAAATTAAATTTACAATCCATTGGTATCATAAGTATTTTCCATTCATCGACAATACACAAAAAAAAAAACAAAAAAACATTGTCATCATTTCAACAGGTAAATTATTGGATTTTATTCAATTAATTAATAACACTTACTGAATTTTATTCAATTCTTCAATACAAATTAATTAATATATTTGCTGAGTTTTATTCAGTTATTTAATGAAAATTAGTTAATACACTTGCTGAATTTTTCAAATTGTTTAATACAACTTAATTAATATACGTATTGAATTTTATTTAATTACTTGATACAAATGTTCGAAATATATATATTCATTCACATATGGTTCCAGTCAGTGGCGCAATTGTTACAATATACCATCTGGAGAATATACCATTCCCATTGATGTATTAATGGGAAAGAAGTAAGTACAATGAGAGAAGAAAATAGAAAATGAAATTTTTTAATTGCAATTAATGAATGGATAAATTAGCGGTAATGTATGATAAGCAATTAGCACTTAAGCATTGTTGAATAAAAATGAACAAATATTGAGAAAACAGATAATCAATCAAATAAATTATAAATGAGAAAATTAATAAATAATTGCACATCTACATTTTAGTAAAATCAATTTTGCTGAAAACATATGAAGTGAAAATTTTTCTTCAGTCGCTAATGTTTTCAACAGTTTTCCCATCAGCTCAAAGGTTAGAATTTATTA